AAGTTCATGGAATTGGTCATTGAAATTAAAGACCTAAAACTAGGTTTCCAAAAATACCTTTGACTTGTGAAGACCATAACTTGAGCTCCACACATGATAATGATGAGTTCTAGAACTTTATGGAAAGCTAAGACAATTAGGAACAACTCTCATGTTTGAGGAAAGATGAGGAAAATCTTGGTTCCATGTGAAAAGTGCCTTAGAAGTGAGTTGACTTTGAGTGCCTCTAAAATCTCTTCATCTGATTACACTAACTTGTTGACACCATAACTTGAGATGTACAAACCCAATGGATGAGTTCTTGTACTCAAATGAAAGCTTGAAAGATGATGAATAAGTCACATGTTTGATAAAAGATGAGACAAGACTTGTATCATAGTGAAATTTGTCCTTGAAGTTAGAGACTAAAAGAGGGGATTTTACACTTGAACTCATCTCCAACCCTAATTTAGTAACTTCTTGAGCTCTTGAATATTCTTGACTTTTATTCCTCATGACATTAGAGATGACTTAATATGACTTCTCATGGCTTAAACGATCAAGAACCAAGTCTTGAGCCCTCTCAAGTCCATAGTTGACTTTTGGTTGACCAGATGAAACCCTAACACCTTATCCATTGACTGAGGTTCTTGCAAGTGATTTATGTGATCATACATCTTCCATAGAGGACCCTTAAGATGCACATTGAACTCTTGAACCATGTCTCAACCAAGAAAGAGACCTCATGTTCCTCTACACATCCTCAAGATAGGAGATGATACCCATACACATACCCTCACTTCTCCAAATACCTTGGGATCTAATTCTGATGATGATGAACTCTTGATGACTTAAACACATACCCTTGTTTGAGCTTGAACATGAAACTCTCTCTTGAGTGGCAAAACAACATCTTGATCCCTTGTCTAGAACCAATACTATGCAAATGCAAATGTTAAATGATATGAAACATAAGTCAAGCCAAAAGAAAAAGTTGGGCAAATTTTGGGGTGCAACAGGCCTCAAATTTGGGCTTTCCCAATATTACCCTCACTAACTCCTCCTCAATTGTCCAATTTGCCCTTAGTTAACTTATATTTATTTAAATTAATAATAATACTAATATATTCATATTATATACTATAATTTAAATAAATAATCCCAAAAGTCCATAATTCTCAGTAATCCACAACAAACCCCCGAAAATTACCAAAAATGCAAATATTCTTATTTAAATAAATTACATAAATATTCCAATAAAATTTGGGGTGTTACAAAACCTATCTCAAACATAATCAATCATTTGCATTGTCACATGCATGACATGCATCATGCATAACATTCCTACCAAATAGGAATGACATCATAATCATATCAATCATTAGCATATTTATGCATGGCTTCTCTGTCAAGAAACTCCACCAACCAGTCTTGTGCATTCGTACATGCATAAAATCCCCAAAAGTGCATCTTCGCATCATGCAAGGCATGACATTTCCTCCCTCAAAATCGGTTGTATTCCTCTAAAAAGAGTTGATATCTCGCACCTGCTCCTGGGACTTTTATCCCCCAGCATTTCATTCTTCAATCATGCAGTTGATAATGATAATCCCCAGCATTCTTGCTCTCGTTACTTCCCAAGCAGAGGTTATCCTAAAAGTTTCTCATGAACTTTACCCTGCAGAGATTTGTCGACCCTTTTCCTTCAAAAAAGAATCTTGCTTAAAATTGTTTTCCCCAACAGATTTTGTGTTCTTGTTGAGATATTGCTCAAGTATCCGTGAAGAATCTTAAATGCGATCGAGGTATCATTCCCCCTTGTTGGAACATCTTAATCAATAAGATACTGCTTTCGGATTAAAGAATCTCATCTATTTTTTAGATACTACTTTGGTATCCGCTGAGAGCCTTAATTAATGAGGTACTGCTTCGTCCACCCAAAGAATCTCATGTCATGGTAAAGATATTATTCTAGTGTTTCCGAAGAGCCTTCATTTGGTACTGCTTCGTATGACCTAGAAAGTCTTATACCATTGTTTGAGACACTGCTGCGTTAAACGAAGAGTCTCATTTGTTTGAGCTACTGCTCTAGTGATCCCCATAGAGCCTTAATCCATAAGGTACTGCTTTGTGCGATCCGAAGAGTCCCATATCTCTGATGAGATACTATCCTAATATCCTCAGTAAAGCCTTAATCTATAAGGTACTGCTTCGCGTGACCCAGAAACTCTTTTTCCCTTATGTCGAGATACTGTTCTGATATTCTAGGAGAGCCTTAATCAATAAGGTAATGCTTCATAAGAATTAGAAAGTTTCACATATGACATTTGAGGTACTGCTCTGTTATTCCCAAAGAGCCTTATTCTATGAGGCACTGCTTTGCATGATTCATAGAATCTCATTTGTCTTTGAGATACTGCTTTGGCTTTCTATGAGAGCCTTAATTTATAAGGTACTACTTCGACCCTAAAGAATATCATGTTTTGGTAAATATATTGTTCTAGTATTCTCGAAGAGCCTTCACCAGATACTACTTAACATAATCTAGAAAGTCTTATACCATTGTTTGAGACACTGCTTCGTTAAAACGAAGAGTCTTATTTTATCGAGATATTGTTTTGGCATCCTTTGAGAGCCTTAATTCATAAGGTACTACTTCATTTGGCCCAAAGAATCTCATGTTTTAGTCGAGATGATGTTCCTTTATCCCTAAAGAGCCTTAATTCACAAGGTGCTGCTTCATATGGTCAGAAAATCTCATACCTCTATGGAGATACTGCTCTATTATTCCCAAAGAGCCTTATCCTATAAGGTACTTCTTTGTGTAGAGGATCTCATTTGTTGAGACACTGCTTTGGATCCCTCGGAGAACCTTAATCCATAAGCTACTACTTCGCACGACCTAGAGAGTCTCATACTTTTTATCGATATATTGTCCTGGCGCTTGGAGAGCCTTAATCAATAAGGTACTACTTCATATGGTATAGGGAATCTCATGGTCTTGTTAAGATTTTTCTCTAGTACCCTTGGAGAGTCTTAGATTGATTGTTCCATCTAGTTAGAATACCTCGATCAGTAAGATGCTGCTTCATTGTAGAGAATCTCATATATTTCCTTTTGCATAATTTTTACTCTAAGTATCCTTGGAGAGCCATAACCAATAAGGTAATGCTTCATGCGATATAGAGAATATCTTTATTAAGCTACTCTAAAGGTGCCCGAAGATCCTTAATTTATGAGGTACTGCCTCGTGTGACCTAGAGATTTTCATTTGTGTTCGAGATACTGCTTTGGCAATCCAAAGAATCTAATGTTCTTCTACTCTTCTCGCATCATGTTGTTTCCATTTACCTTTGCATTTTCCTTATTGGTAGACAAATTTTGGGGTCTTCTTGTATCTAATCGACTTTTACCCTAAAACGAACTCCATGTAGTAGTTCATTTTCACGGGTTCAAGGGAATTAGATAGGGGCATCTGTCATACTCCAAATTTTTCCTACATTTCTCAACATTCTCTCTGTAAGATCATTTGGCTTTTGACCATGATTTTCTGAGATTTAAATCATAAGACCTTGTGTGTGTTTATTATGGCTAACAAGTTTGTGCATGAAGATTGGTTTCAAGAAGAAATGACACTCGTGCTCTCAGCCAAGTACTTCGAGACGTAACCAATGGATTTTGATGCAGAATGGTTCTAGGATTTTCTATTGGGTCACTTTCCTCGATATTTCTCAAAAATCCTTAATGTATACCGCAAAGAGAAATAGGATTTTCCTTCGATTGGTGCTTAGCATGGGCATGTGAAGATTGTTTAGGGTTTTCGTAACAAGTTGCAAGGACTCCTCAAAGCATGGTTTTTGTATCAAGTTCAATCTTTAGTTGTGAGAATAACAAAGATCAAGATTAATTCAAAAGGGACTTTGTTTTTATCCGTAAGGTTGGATCATGATTTGTTCCTTTTGATCTTAAAGGAAAGAGATTCATGTTGTCTTGTTGATTAATTTGTAAGTAACATGCTTGGAGATGGTAATGTTTGGATAAAATCTTGAATCAAGTTTTGGCAAGGAGTTTCAAAAATGAAATTCAAGGATCATATTCTTTACAAAAAAAAATCAAATTGATTCACTATTTTTTCTACAAATATTCAAAGTCAAGATATGATTCATTCAAATTACAACATTTTCTATTTTCAAATTTAGCAAACAATGACTCATACTTTACCATGAACATTTAAAGTCCATATTCAAGATTTAAAGTTATGTTGAAATTCACTCAAGTTGTCATGTTTCCCCATCTTTAAATTCATGAGCTTTGATACAAAGATACAAGAAATTATTCCACCGTGAGAAAATTCATAATTCGAGTTACAAGGTCTACCTTAATTCAATAGTGGTTTCTAATGTCAAAGAAGAACAAGATCCAATTTTTTATTCCGAATCCAAGACAAAAATTCATATCTATTCAAAGTGACAAAGAAATGTTATCATTTCCAATTCTTCATTTCAAGGATTTGGTTTCACTATATGTTTTCAATAAAATTTTCACAAGACTTTAAGATTGTTACAAAGTAATCACAAATTCATGGCAGTCACACTACATTTTTTTACAAACAAACAAAAATCCAAAACGTCCATTGTAGAAATTGTGAATATAATCCCAAAGCTTTCACTCATGTTACTTTGCTTGTAATTCCTTCTATATTGATGATGCTTTAAAAGTTATAACAGCAGCAATTCCTGGCATAGCAATATGGAATCCCTCATGAAGAGATCAAAAGATGTTTGGTCACCGCTCCTAGCTTGCCATCCATTTGCGAGTAACCAAGATGGAATTGATGAAAGATCAAACACAAGTTCTTATGTTAGTACTTGAACTGGTTGACAAGGGAAAATAAAAGTAGCAAATTCAAGGTTAGTATGCAAAAGTTGATTGCTTCATGGAGAGATGTACGTGTACAATACAAGCAATCATAATGAAAAGCTTCACATTAAACCATTCCTAGTGGAAAGGAGGAAGAAAACTTAAACATTAGCAAGGTTAGATGTGTATGCTATATCATGGTGAAAAATTAATAAATTCATTGAGAAATAGTTTGAAGAAAGTACAGCTTTACAAGAATATTGGCACTGTGACGGCATAGTCGAGTTTGACCGAATCCGCGGAGCAACGGCCAAATGTATTTCCTGATGAGCTATCACTGTTAAAAAAACTCAACTCAACACGACAAATCGAAAAGAAAATTCATCAATTTATGAATCATCAAGACGAGTTCGAATTCTTTCCAAAACATGTATCAAACATGTTGGACTCAGAAAGGAAAACTAGGACGTGTCTCAAACAAAATCATCATCGTTAATCTTCATTATGAAGCATCTCCAAAACACAGTCAAGCATTTAAAACCAACATGGAAAGAAATTCAAAGATGTCTAAACATGTTCGGATTGAAACGGAAATAGCATCATTGTTATGAAATCATGTTCACAACAAATTTGTTTCTTTCCAAAACAAGCTTTGATACGCGCTTAATCAGAACTTCAGTTATCAGCCTATATAAAGAGTAATCAACATTCATACAAAAGGACATCACCACATGCAGGGATGAGCAACATATCCGACAACACAAAGTTCATCAAAAGCATACATACGCAGAGAGATAAACATTAAAGAAACATTGAGAATATACAGACAGTACCATACAATCATACGAGTTGCAGACAATATCACAACATCACCAAAATTCACACCAGAGAAGCATAAACTGCACAAAGAGGGAAAGCAGAAAAGACATACCTTCAAATTCGTCGACATTTTTGAAGCCGCCGTGTCGCATTTCTTCAAAGGTAAGTGTTTCCGTTGTCTATTTATTTTGAATTTCGTTTCAATTCCGTCGTCGTGACGTAATTCGTTAGAATTAGGGAAAACTCTTTTTCTGAATATTGTTTTGAGGAACCCACGAACGAGGGTGTGCCGCGAACGATCTCCATTATCGCTGGCCAAAAGGCCATGGCGCAGTGGACTTTGTGGGGTATACCGACGATACGAACGAAGCCGAGAGAGAGACGAATGAAACCGAGTGAAAAGCGTGAGACCGAGGGAGATGAAAGAGAGAAAAGGAATGAATTTGATGATGCTGTTAATTTTTTCTTTTTCTTTCTTTAAAGAACATAGTGATGTATTGTTGGAGGCCGGACGGGCCTTATCTTCTTTCAGCCCAAAACGTTTTTTCTGACCTTTCCCAAAAAAAAAAAAAGCAATTATCCTCATTGGGCTTAAACCACGGCCCATGATCATTTTTTTTATTTTATTTCTTTAAATTTTCTCTAGTTTTTTAAAATCTGTAATTATTGATTTAGGATTTTTTTTTTAAATTCGTGATTTTTTTTAATTAATTAAAACCCGTGATTAATCTCTAATTAAGCTTGTGGTTAATGAGGACTAATATTTAATTCCTAGTATAAGCTTGCGATAATTTTTATGATTTATCTCTGGTTTGTCTCTATTAGTCTTTATTTAGTATCGACTAGGATTAGTTGATATTTGTGTAGGAGTTTTTACGGTTGAGTTTTGCGAACTTCCCTATTGAGTCTTACCTTGATTTTAATATATCGCCTAATGATAGCACATGATACTTGTGGAATTTACCGTGTTCCTTTAAGTTCCTAATTCAATTGTATCTTTGATGAATCGGATCAGGGTAGGCGCGTATACGAGAGGATAAGCCATTGCATAATAACATTAAGAAATTTCCCCTTTGATCTTAGTCTTTAGGATCATATAATTAGGTTAGCTTTTCGTTTCGTTTAAAACTAAAACCTTTTCCTAATCAAAAATACAAAAAAAAAAAATATTCTAACTATATCTCTAACTGTTTTCCCAAACCCTAAAAAACAGTTCACCAATTTTAAAACTTTTTGCCACTTGCCTTTTCAGTTTAAAACTTTTCGAAAAGGGCATGTTGCTTAGCACCTCCATAAAAAACACACAACAAACCAAACATCTTCAACACGAACTACATATTTTTGATTCCCTCTGGGATATGTAGGCACTGGGTTGAAAAGTCAGACAAACTCAATAATAAAAACTCCTATTTTTCCTTAAGTAACCATCATTTCCCTTTAGCAAGCTTTAAGATATCAAACACCTTTAATGCCTAGACAACTTTTATGATTCCCATCAAGTACGATAAATGTAGGGAGTGCTAGTATCTTCTCCTTACATAACCGACTTCCAAACCCAACATGGTTACGATGACCATACCCTATATTTTTTCACGTGGATTTTCTCAATATTTTCCTTTTCCTTTCTTGGGGATAAATAAAGTTCGGTGGTGACTCTTATAAGTCCACCTGTGATCGTGCAAACCCTATTTTTTGCACATCGTGAAGATCGTATTTTTCGGGGTACGACACTAGGCCTAAAAGTATCCAACAAAAAACCTTATCTGTAAGCTCAAATGATCCATTTACGACCTCAAGCAGGCCAACAGGCAGTGTAATCACAAACTTACCACTACTTTGATCTCTTTAGTATATATCAATTCTAAATCTGACTACTCTTTATTCACAAAGAAAAATAACAATTGCTTTACTATTGTACTCGTTTATTTTGATGATTTAGTACTTTCAGGCAACAACATAATTGAGATTGATCAAATTAAAATTGTTCTTAATGATATATTCAGTATTAAAGACTTAGGCACCCTCAAATATTTTATGGGTTTTAAGGTTGTAAGAAGTTCATGTGGTATATCCCTCTATCAACGTGAGTATATTTTAGATTTATTACAAGACAATGGTCTTCTTACAGCTATGCCGTCCTCGATGCATATGGATCCTAGCCATAACTTACTTTGTGACAAAGCCATTTTGTTGCCTGATCCTACTAAATTTCGAAGCCTCATTGGTAAGCTAATTTATCTGACTCATTCGTGTTCTGACATTACTTTTTATGTTTGTAGACTTAGTCAACACTTTGCAGCTCCAACTAAAGTTCATATGCAGGTTGCCTTCTGTATTCTATGTTACATCAAAAATACTCCAGCTATGGGTCTTTTATTCAAATACAACACTGACTTAACTCTGAATGGTTTTTCTGACTCCGACTGGGGAACCTGTCTCCTCACCCATCGTTATACAATAGGATTTTGATTTTTCATGGGCATTTCACTTGTCTCATGGAAATGCAAGAAATAATACACAATTTCCCGTTCATCTTCTGAAGCAAAATATCACGCTCTTTCCAACACTACTTATGAGGTTGTCTGGCTCAAATATCTTCTTTAGAACTTCAACATTTGTCTCCACAAACCCATTACTATTTATTGTGACAATCGCAATGCATTGAAAATTGCAACCAACCTCGTCTTCCATGAATGCACCAAACACATAGAGCTCGATTGCCATGTCGTTCAGGAAAAGATCCAAGACAACATTATTCACCTGATGCCCATAGATTCAATAAACCAGGTCACGAACATGTTCACCAAGCCTCTGCATTTAGGCCCCTTCTCCAACATTGTTAGCAAACTAGGATTGCATGATATACATTCTAGTTTGAGTGAGAGTATTAAAATATGGTTTCTTTTTTGTATTTTTCCTTTTTCCTTTTTCCTTTTCTTTAACATTTTCCTTTTATTTACCTATTTTATAGCTTGGCTAAGTTGTTTTCCTTTTTGTTGATTGGCTATATATAGGTTGCCACATATCTGTTGTAGTGGTGCATTGATTATCATTTATGACTGATGCAACAATATATTCAATGGTTTTAATGAATTTCTGCCAGAAAGTTAATAGCGCATAATGGTTACAATATCTTACAATAATTAAATGTACTTATAAAAGTGGTGTTTGTATGCATTGTATTGTTATTCAATAGGCATCTGTCACGACAGAAACACCAAAAATCTTGTCCTCTTTGCTTCTTTCGGGCCTCTTTCTTTAGGTATATGTTACTTTTCTATTGGATAAGCTATTATACATCTATTTTATTTTGGCTATTTCAATTGATAGTGATCGTTCAATATCATTTTAGATCAATTATGTCTTATAATTTCAATTGATAGTTATCTATTCTATCATGTGTGTCAATGTGGTTCTTAATAAGTTGAATTATCTATTTATTCATGTGATATACATTTCAGGTGTGTACAACAAATTAATAAAGGCAACACTGGACATGTAAGTTTCGAAGAGTTGAAGGATATATAGGTTTTGTTATATAGTGTGAAAATGTTTCGAATAAGAATTAATAATTTAAATGTGTTATATTTTCCTTTTATCATATAGTCTAACACAACAAACTGCAAAATCAACAATTAAGTATCTGAAGGGAAAATGGTGTAACTAGTAGTCTTCCAAGACAACAAAACAAGCATAAAACATCTAAAATTCCAAATACCACAATATTACATATTGTTGACTAATACATTTTTATTAAATGACCTCGTATACTTTACTATGGGAAAAAGATAGAAAATTTGAAAATAACTGTAATCAAAACATTTGAGATAAATTGGTGGTAATGACAGTATATCAAAGGAATCCTTAGAAGTTAGAACCCAATGAAGGATGTGGGTGTTTCATTAGGAGAATTGGCTCCAATAATTAGGTTAGACTTGCATACCAATAGGACATCAATTCAATCCAATGATTACACTCATAGCCTTCCTATCCTAACATTAATTTCACTACTAAACAAATTTCAAATGCCATGCTAACATTAATTAATACTATAATCAAGTGGCATTCTTATTTGCTTATCTATAGTAACTAAAGAATATAGTTTTTGTTTCTCGCACCACACAGTATGGTTCACTCACATTGATAATTTGTTTTCCTGTTACCTATGTGCTGCAGTATGTCGTGGAAAGAAATACCACTTATTCATTATTCTTCTAATTCTACTCAATTTTACTAATATATATTAATCCCAGTCAAAATTAATCAACGTATATCAAAGATTATCATCAAAATCTGATAATTACCAAATTATAAAAATTTAGGGGTTTCATCTTAAACACGTTTCTACCCATTATACACTATCAAACAATCCCAATAATTATATAAAAACTCACCCTTACCTTGATTTTTCTTGGATTTCTTGAGTTCCTCTTCTCTTCTAGCCTCTTTTCCAACTTCTATCTTTCTATTCTATCTCTTTCTCCTTTTGTTAAACTCACAATTTTCTCATAACCTAATAATTTCTAATGGGCTTACTAACCCACTCTCTCAATTTCTATTCACATCCTTAATTAGGCCCAATTAATTAATTCTATCAATTTCATATTTTATTCCACCAAATAAAATAATTCAATTAAATAAATTAACTCAAATAAATCAATTATTTAAAATAAGTCCAATAAATCAATTAATCCAAATAACTCAAATAAATCAATTAATTTATATAAATCCAATTAATCAATTAATTCATATAAATTAAATAATTCATATAAATTAAATAAATCAAATAATTCATTAAATCACTCAATTAATTAATATAAATAAATAGTTACCAAAATTGGGGTGTTACAACTCTCCTCCACTTAAAAGATTTTTGCCCTAAAAAATTACCTCAAATGAACAACTTAGAATAAGACTCCTTTATCTGAATCTCAAGCTCCCAAGTCACATCTCCACCAGCTGGTCCTCCCCAAGCTACATTCACCAAAGCAATCTCTTTACCTCGAAGTTGATTCAACTCCCGATCCTCTATCTGCATAGGTGATGTCTTCACAGTCAGTTTATGTCTCACCTGCACATCATACACTTGGACTACATGAGATATATCCGTAATGTATTTCCTCAACTGAGATACATGGAACATGTCATAGGG